GCAGCATACCACGATATCCTGGCTTCGGCTGGGCTTGAAATAACCCTTTTGCTGTCCTCCGCTCTTTGCATCAGTGGCTTCCTAGGTTCGGGCGAGGGCATGTGTGGAGCTATGGCCGTGTCAGTGTATGTGTTGCTGTTTTATGTGAGTCATCTAGCTGCTGACACGATGACTGTTGATCTAGCTGCTGAGAGTTAGCTTCGTCCACTATTAATCCACAATCTCGATCCATTTCGTACTCTGTTGGCTCCGCAAAGCGCGGACGCCACACTCACAACGTGAAGTCGAAGAGTGCCTCAATAGTGCAGGTTCTGCACTATTGAGGAATATTCAAAGCCCCAATAGTGCAGAACTTGCACTATCGANGCTGACACGATGACTGTTGATCTAGCTGCTGAGAGTTAGCTTCGTCCACTATTAATCCACAATCTCGATCCATTTCGTACTCTGTTGGCTCCGCAAAGCGCGGACGCCACACTCACAACGTGAAGTCGAAGAGTGCCTCAATAGTGCAGGTTCTGCACTATTGAGGAATATTCAAAGCCCCAATAGTGCAGAACTTGCACTATCGAAGGCACCCTTTTCAGTAGTGCAGGTGCCTGCTATAGTGCAGGTAACTTCTCACGACAGACCCCTGCACTATATAGGGCCCACTACTGTATGTAGGTTGCAAGCCAAGATTGGGACGCCGTGTCGACAGTTCACGGGGCCCCTTTGAGGTTTCACCGCCAACAACAGCGCACCATGCTCACCGCGGTGCTACAGACAGGAGAGCACACACAAGAGAAGCGGCTCCAAACGCAAAGGGCAACAGGTTCTAGTTTCGACCGCGCTTTTGAAGGTGCAAAGGTGAGAGCATATGGGGAAACCCTCGCACGCGGTGCCCACCGTAGACAGGTGGAGAGATTTCGTTTGTGAGATGTCACGCACGCGGCAACCCCGGTGAAGTTCGACGTGTGGCCTGACAACTTGACTTGTTTGCCCATGCGCTATGGTGCTCTGTGTCGCACGCTTTCTTCATTTAGCGGGGTCAATTTCCGCATATTTTGGGATGTTTTACAGTGAGCTGAGAGGTTTATGGCCTCTTGGCACAAGGGCGAGGAGGAGGCCAGCCGACAACGAGCCACCAAACGAGGAGACAGCGGGCCCAAAAATAGTCTAGATACGGCACCAATCAACGGGGCGGTAGGGGGGCGGAAGGAAACGGCGCGGGAAGAAAGCANTCGCGTTCAGACTGTCTCTACGGATATCCCTGTCTCTGTGCGAGTTTGTTGATGTCCTCGTCTGTCTTTGGTTTTTTTTTTTTTCATCTTTTTTACTGGCACGTACATACATTCGCTCCTCGACAAGCTTTTGCTTAGACATGGGTTGTAGCGAAGGGGGGGGTCTTTCTGGCGAGCAGGGCTAGACTCACCCTCAAGGGATGACCGAAACCTTCTTGCTGCTGCGCATCCGCCGCGAGGCTTGCGTGTGGTGGGGGAGTTGGGTCGGCACTGATGGGGTCAGGCGGGAAAATGTAGATGCGGGGGCCTTTCTGGCCGTCGACCATTCGGCGCAAGAATTTTTATTTTTTTAAGACCAAGAACCTTGAGTGCAATGAGGGAGAAAGCGAGGAACGGACTGGGAAGGACAGCAACGAGAGCGTGTACGGACGGAGCAGGTCGAGTGGCGTTTTGCTCGGGCTGACTACAGCGGCGCCGGATGGAGCAATGGCACCGGAGCATGCGGGCGACATCGACCCGTAGCGCACGGACAAACATTTCTATGTTATCATTTTTTTTCGTTTTTTTTCTGACTTTCCGTGTTGGTTTTGTGTGATGACATCGTCACCGGTTTTGTAGAGNGACCCGTGGCGCACGGACAAACATTTCTATCTGTGTTGTCAATTTTTCCGTTTCTTTTTTCTGACTTTCCGTGTTGGTTTTGTGTGAGGACATCGTCACCGGTTTGGTAGAGAGACCCGTCAGAGATGGCGTGGCTAACCCGGGTGCATTGGTTTTGTGCCTAATCGTGGAAGCCCTCTTCAAGGTGAAACGATTCTTAGCTAGTGTCGATATTTTTCACTGCAGTGCCTAACACAGACGATCGGGAGAGATTCGGGTGATTGTCAATTGCTGCTATGATGGCTTTGGTTGGTTGTTCTTTTTCACTGTACGGCCGCAGACACATTCTGACAGCACTTCAGACAGCAGCTTTGTGCCCCGCCAGCT